CAAACAATACATACGGAAATGAACCAAGATTTTTGTCACAAATAGTATTAGTCATATAGGACACAATGTGAGAATTTGAGCTCAGACAACCTTGAGAAGATGCAATTATTAACTTTAGACAGTAATAATATCGTCCTATATGTCATTACATCTAGTATTTCCTAGAATTGTAAGATAATCGTAGTCTTTCACAATAGTATATTCATTTTCATTCCTATCTTATTGGCTCCAACGGCACCTATATGATAAATTACATATATAGTGTTAGCGAATATCTTTGATGTATGAATTATATATATCATTGAATGGGAAGAAATAAACCAAAGTAATTTACTTGGACGAACTGAACTATAACCACGTGTATAGGAAAGAGAAGAACAAAATATATTGTATAGGTTATCTGATATTCTTTTTATTCGTTTCTGACAAAAATGATAAATGCATCGGTTGTATGTTCTCTTCTCACAGAGAAGTTTTCTCAATCTACAGGATCGAGAAAAATTAGTCTTCAATCTCCATCAGCACGTGAAGAAGAGGTTACCAATCATTTAGCTGAATTATTAAATACAATTATCAACTGTCATGAGTTTACTGTAGAAAGTGAAATTTCTCTTGATTACATTTTCGATGATTTAACCGAAGATGAATTTGATCAATATGCTGTATCAGAAGACTCTGAATTAGATCCTGATTTCCACGACACGGATAACGATGACAGTGATGGTCTTCTTCAAAAATTTTCTTTAGATTATATGAAAAAGGTTATTGAATATTATGATGAAAGAAATCCGTTGACAGGAAAACGCCGTCGGTCTTGGAAGGGTGTGAAGCGTCGATTTAAACATGTTACACATTCATCATATATATCTCGTTTTCGTGCTTATATTGAAAAGGGAGGAACGAGAACGCAAAAATGGGAAAATATTAATAATTATGTTTATCATAAATTTGAACAAGCTCGAGAATCTAATCTTCCTGTACATGATCTCGACTTACGTCGTTTGGGCTTAGAAAAAGCTAAACAAGAATTATTCCATGAGTTTACTGCTTCCGAAAAATGGTTGTTTAATTTTAAAATAGAGCACAACATATGCTCGAGAAAAGTAACTAAAGTGAGTAACTTATCTCTACTATTTTTAATAGAGTAATCACTTTTTTTGAAAACTACATATTATCTATATCTACTAAAAAATTTATCTTTTTTGCTTTTTAAAAATTTGTTTCCGTACTTGTATAAAAATAGATTTCTTTTTATATCATTTCACATACCTTCAAATTTCATTCTACTAGATAGATACTTCTTTATTTTCAATTTCTTATAATATTAATCGCATAGAGAGTATTTTTATCACTCAACTATAAATACAAAGCCGTTGAGAAAATATGCAAGAAGACAGCTTAAAATTCCTGTTTTATTGGACATAAAGATAAAAAATATTCTGCTTTAGGTAATAACAACCAAACAAGTAACAATTAAAGAAGAAGTTCAACATTCTGCTGATGAATTTGTATCAACTGTACGAAATCTTTTACCAAAATATAATCCTGATTATGTGATAAACATAGATCAATCTGGTATTCAACTTAAGTTTTATTCAACTCGAACCCTTTCTTTTAAAGGGGAAAGAAGTACTGCCATAAATGTTCGTTCGAAGAATGCGACCAGACATTCATTTACCGTGCAACCATGTGTCAGCCTCAGTGGCAAACTTGTCGGACCACTTTTCCTTTGTTTAAAAGAACCCGCTGGTTATTTAAGTGAAAATGTTCGAGTAAGATTCTCACATATAATGATCTCTTTTTTTTCGTATTAGTGTAGTTCGAAAAATACATCCTGATTTTTATTGAATATTTCAGGGTCGTCTATTCAAAGCTCCTAATATAGTAGTATCGTGTAGTAAATCCGGCAAACTCACGACTGATCTTGTGAAATTTTGGCGAGATAATGTCTTACTTCCTTCCAGTGGCGTAGCCAGGAATTTTTGTGTCTTGGGCAATTTCCTGATTATTTTTTTTAAAGATTGGGCAATATTGGGCAATTTAAAATCTATTGGGCACCATTTTTTTTAGTGTTTATTTCTATCACAAAAACCGATGCTTCTTAAAGATGAATTGTTACTTTCAAGTTAGAGGCGAGCATACTCGGTTTCTCTAATGTCTCACAAATATATTCTTCAGTGGTGTAGCCAGCAATTTTTGGATCTTGGGTTACTTCCTGATAAATTTTTTATACGATTGGGCCATTTGGGGCAATTAAAAGTCTGTTGGGCTTCATTTTTTTGAAAGTCTTATCCATTACGAAAACCAATGCTTATTAATGAGGAATTGTCGTTTTCTCGATCACTTGATTGAATTACTACAGGAAGCGGCAGAGCTGGGAAAATCAAGTCAAAAACAAGTTAAGCCATTTTTGATCTATTTGACTGACTTCAAAAGAATTTTTAGAGACTTTAACCTGACTTGTCTGACTTGAGACGAAATTTAACTGACTTGTTCTAACCCTGGTGTAAAAAGTCTTCGTACAAAATTTTTGTTCGATTTTCGATCACTTATAGATTCCAGAACAGACTCAAAAGTAGTCAGCTAGAAAGAGAATTTCTTGCTCTTTCTAAATATATTCAGAATTTTTGTTCTGACTTGAACTTAATTCACTAAGAGCAGATATTTGATGGGGACCAAAAACGACATTTGTACAGAATATTCCATGCAATCCATTTTTGTATTTGAGTTAAAAGTGCTTCAGTTCAAATTGAACGAAAGAGATTTTATATACCAGTTTGCAGAATAAAGCTTACTCTACAAAATGCTCAATTTACTTTGCTTCGAACATATCATTGTAAACCATTAAAATTCCATGCATGTCAAACAGCGCAATACGGAATAAACGTTTATTTTGAAAAATATTATCTCATAGAAAGAGTAGCATTCCGAAAAATATTTGTAACTTTTGATCCTTTTGAATTCCAGTTTATTGTATGTCATAGTTTCGTAGAATATGTAATTCTCTACAACAATAGAAGGTAAAAAATTATCCCATAATACTTTTAGCGAAATTACGAACGAGAGGAAAAAAACGCGCTTTAGATGTTGCAAACAACATTTTTATTTATTCAGATATTTGCTCACAGCTGGCTAGATAAGAATCAGAGCAAAATTCTAAAGATATATTTAGAAAGACATTCGAATTCTGTTTCTAACCGACTACTTTAGATTCTTTTCGATTATATTTAAATGACCGAAAAAGTAGCAAACATATTTATCATTACCCTTGACACTAGTGTTTTGTACAAATGTCGTTTACGGTTTCTATCAAATATTTGCTGCTAATGAATCAAGTTTAAGTCAGAATAAAATTCTGAATATATATTTAGAAAGGGCAAGAAATTCTCTTTCTAGCTGACTACTTTTGAGTCTGTTCTGGAATCTATAAGTGATCGAAAATCGAACAAAAATTTTGTACGAAGACTTTTTACACAGGGGTTAATTTGTGACTTAAAAAGTCTCGATTTGCCAAGTTTTGGAAGTGATTTATTAAAGTAACATCACCGAAGTCTTTGAACACACATACATCAAGATTTTAGTCTTGGGCAATTGCTATCGTTTCCAAAATATCATTGGGCAATAACTTTTAAGCTATTGGGCAATTGCCCAATTGCCCAAGGCTGGCTACGCCACTGCTTCCTTCCATTGCTTCTCATCATACTCTTCTCATCTCTGACTGCGGGCCTGGTCAAAGTAATACTACAGGTATTTACGACAATATTAACAAACTTTATCGGCTTGAATTACCTAAAAATACCATCACACAAATTCAGCCGTTGGATTTATTTTACAATAATCAGCACAAATATATAGCTCGTCGTATGTTCGATCGAGTACTACTTGATGGTGTTGATATTAATTTAAGTGAACGTAATTCTATCATTCGTAGCCAATCTCTCATTTATAATCAGCTATGTGCTCCTGTTTTTCAAAAAA